AAAGGGATGACCTATAAGAAAAGGAAAAGGTGCCTTACAAATACAAAGGAAAAATACACCTATACAAGTATCTACTATATATAAGGTACAAGAACTCAAACTATACAAGGTATGTACAATAGAGACTATGAGACTAAAAATAGGAATCATACTCAATGCTCATATTGAGCATAGGTCTAAGAAACACCTCCTCTATAGAATCCTCCTCTAGCCTCCTAACCATGGACCTAGTTAAAGACCCAATGGTCTTCAAGTGTGAGCTCTCCTATGGATCAACCTTCACCCTTCTTGGTCTTACCTCTTCCAAAGGGATCCTTGAGGATTATATTTTCATCATTATGGGTACACTAACCTAACTTGGGTTCATCTAACCTAGGTTAAGTTTTCTTGCACTCCAAGACTCTTTAAGCCTATAGATTCATTTTTCCTTCTTGTATTCACCCTTTTGCTTAATGAGATCAGATTTCACTCTAGAATTTTGTCTAAAAAAGTCCTAGTTCTTTAGAAGATAAACTTCGCCTTAATTTCTTTTATCAAGGATTCCTCTTTATGGAAAGAACTCTCACTTGCCCATCTTCAGGTCTTAGAGTAGCACATCCACTCTCTTCTATTTGCCACCTTATTTTGTTTGAATATGAGGCTTGCATCCATGGAAAATATTGGGAGATTCAAAGGTTACTAAAAGGAGAAACAACAAGCATCACATATATGCACAAAGTATTAATTCCACACCTTCATCATAACTCACTCATCACTCATCCAAAATTATCCTTTCTCACATTTTCTCTTTCTTAACTATTTGTATTATTATTTCAAATCATTCTCAAGATTAAACACTTAAAGGATAAAATAACTTATAAACTATCTCTTCTTATCTTAAGCTTCTATGACATTGTGTGGTATAAACGCAATATCTAGAGTTCTACCTATTCCATCAGGTTGAACTTAATTTTATTAGAAATTTAAGATAACTATCTTCAACTTCTATGTTGACCTCAAGAGTTTATTTTACTATCTACTATTTTTAAAAATTACAAAACCATAGTATTTAAGCATAAATTTGCAGCTTGAGCTTTGCTCACTAATTTGATCATAACTTGAGTTCGAGACGTCTTTTTTTGGGTGATTTTAGAGTCATTGGAAAGCTAAAATCGAAGGCTACAATCTGTACAAATATGATGAGACTTAATTCGGTTATTTAAGGTCCTCATAAGGCTTACAAGTGTTAGATATTACTTTTCACACATAAAACATGAGGATTAATTTGTGACTCATATAACTTGGTCATTTCTTAATATTTTTATGTGACTCTTGAGTCGAAAGTGTAACTTCAAATATATACTTTCCAGTCTAATAAACAAAACTCTATTTGGTTAATCACGCATAAAGAAATTATTTAAATTTTAAGGTATGTTCATACAAGTGTTGTTGTATGACCATGCTAGAGATGACACTTCGTAGAGTTGTTCTAATGTAGTAGTGCATACTAGTGCTTGATTGATACCTAGGATTTTATGTTTGTCAATACAAGTATTTTGTAGATAGGTATGTATATGTACATAGATGAATGTAACTCTATAATGGACTTTATGTTTTCAGTTGAGATTGTTAAGAACTATATTAAGATTTTTGTATCCTACACACACACACCACACACACACACGCACGCACGCACGCACGCACGCACACATATATATATTACGTTAATTTTTGGGCACTATTTGCACAAGAATCTTAAAGTAGAAGATCTTTATGTTTTCTATTGCATAGTTGCTTGTTATGTTGTACAAATGTGGTAACTTGTTTAGTTGGTACTATATGCAGGTTTTGTACATGCATGATGTATAAGCTTTTGTTGCATGATAAACTTAGGATAGATTATTTTATTTTCCATTAGGATGTATTTTGTGTTGTGTTTAGTTACGCAAGTGTATGGTCTGTTGGGTTATTACAACTAAACATATGATTGCTAAAGAAATGCTTAGTTTGCAATATTTAAGAATGGTTATGTATTCAAATTTTATAAATGAAAAAAATATAATTAAAAAATATATTTTAATTGCTTGAAAAATATATTTATGATATTTAGACAAAATTAATTATTATTTTATCAAATTATAAATTTATCTTTAAATATTTTTTTTTTGTTTGTTTTACATTTTTATTTTAAATTAAATATAAGGAAATGAAAAAAAGACAATTTTTTAATTCATGTGTCAGAACTTAAAAGATGCTTAAAATGAATGAATGAATGTAATATATATATATATATATATATATATATTTTTTTTTTTTCTTTTCTCTATAATTACAATAATGACATCTGAATTTGAACCTAGAATCCTATACATACTAGTCCAATTCTTCACTATTAGGCCAATCCTAATTGTTTGAATATAGTATTTGAGATATTTTAATTAAAAAAATTTCTTTGTAGTTATAAAATAAATATTTAAGACTTAAATATACTTTTGTTCCTTATAGTAAACCATTTATTTTTAAATTGTCATTGTAATTTTTTTTATTTTATTTTAGTCCTTACTATTTTCTTTTAGTACTTGCAATAAATATATATATATATATATACATTTTATTTTTGTCCTAATAATATATAAATAATTGGCTTTTAGTCCCGACAATTTTCCCCCCAAAAGATCTATCTTAGAAAAACAAAATATTATGAGTTAAAAATGAAAATAGATATATTATAAGGATTTAAATCAAATATTTAAATTTTATAAGACCACCAAACTTTGTTAAATATAAGTAGGAAGACTTTACTCTTGAATTGAAGGTTTATTTCAATCCTAACTATTTGAATATAAAGTTTAGCAATGCTTAATAGTTATATTTTTCTTATTTATTTTCTAGAGTCTAAGCAAACAACATTTTGAATAATTTATATCTCTTGTTTATCTCTCTACTGTTGATCAAACTTAAGATAAAGACTTTATTTATTTTGATGATTACAAATGTATTATATATAACCTCTTAAAAGATAAGAGTGCAAGTTATAATTTGTTGTTTGTTTTACTTTGTGCATGTTTCACTTTGTGCTTGGTTGGGTGCTAAATCATGTTTTAGTAATGATTCTTAATTTAGATTGATAATTGATGATGATTGTGAGGTTTAAAATTTATTTAAAGAAGATTTGGTGTACAAACTTGAAGCATTGAGTTTTTTCTCAAAATAATTAATTATCTTTTGTAATAATCATATTTGCTCTGTTTTTTAGTAACTTAAGAAATAATTGCTGCAATAATTAATTATCTAGTAAAATAATTGGTTATTTCATAATTGGCTTATGGAATAAGCGGTTATCCTTAGAAATAATTGATTAAATTGTTCTTGGTGGATTTCTAGATTTGTGAAGAACAAAATAATCGATTATTCATCAAAATAATCGATTATTTCAGATAGGAAACTCTATATAACGTTTTTCATTCTTAGAACTTTAAGAGATTTGTAACTTTACAAAAATTGATCATTAAGTGAGCTTTGAAAATTTCTTTTTTTGTGTGTGAAGGGAGGTTTGAAATCCTTTGTGGGAACCTTTAGCATAAATTAAGAGAGTTGAATTGTCATCATGATCATCTACTTGAAGGATTATGGCTAAATAATTTAGTCTTGATAAACCTATTCTTTGTTTTTTATACTTCAAGTGATATCTTTCCTTCATCTTTTTGTATTTCTTAAGTAGCTTTCTCAAGGTAGATAGGTTCTTGAGTAGGTTTCTCAAGAAAGAAAGGCTCTTGTGTAGGTTTCTCAAGAAAGAAAGGCTACTTGTAGTTGGGTGCTACAAGGGTGTTTCTTGGGGTTCAAGAAGTGTTTTTTTATTTTTTATTTTTTTAAATTTTGGTAAAGTGTTTTGCATGTGTTATATGATTGTAAAACTATTAAAATTAAAGAATAGTTAAATACTTAATGGGGATGATTGGGGACTAGATGTAGGTCACTACTGGAAGTGATTGAACTAGTATAGATTGTTGTACAAGCTTCTCTTACCCTTTAACTTGAATTTACTTTCTTGTTAACCTAATTACATGCTTGATGGTATGTTTCTTGTATTTTGAGTTTTTCATGTAGGGTAGTTAAATTTAGACTTGCATTAATAAGTGTTTTCAACAATTTATATCACCTTGGCTTAAAATCAATTGGTTAAATTGAAAAGTCTTTAAAAAAGTTTTTATTTTAGAAAACTTAAGAAGAATTTTTAAAATCTAATTCACTCATCTCTTGGAATAGTTATCTTTTTCTAACATCTACAACCCTATAAAGTCTTAAATGAAATTCTTGAGAAATTGTTGGAACATTTTAGTTTTCCAAGACTAGATAACCACTTTAAAATGTGGATAATGAGATTGTACAATTTCATAGGGAAATGTTACATTGAACTATTGTTAATTGAAATGTGGAACTGTGTTTATCCAAGATAACCCAACAATGTTTTCTAGAGAATGAACTTAACAAGAGAAAAAATAATGTGAAAATTTATGGATATGTCATCTTTAAAAAAATAAACTATTGCAAATAATTCATTATTCTTTGTAGTTGTTAAATTAGTATTGTGTTTTTTTCTTAATGAGTTTTGAATACAAATACCCAAACAACAACAATAAAAGTTTTATCCTACTAGATGATATCGATTAAAGACTATTGGGGTATCTATCAATTAAAATCTTCATTCATATGAAAAGCCTTATTTAACTCAATCAAAGATTGAATTTTTAGATATATTATTTACCTAAATGAGGTCAACTACATGAATTACATAGTGTCATTTGACAACAAAAGCCTTAATTATTTTCAATGTTGTCATAGTAAACGTAATTAGCAAATTAAGTTAACTCCTTAAGCTTATTCCACTAGGTGATGACTTACAAGACGCCATTGACCTCGATTAAAGACCAAATTCTTAGATATATTATTCACTATGAGATTCTTAAGATACCAGTAACTGAGGAAATAAAATAGAAACTTGAATAAAGAAGTAATCCCATCTATTCATGAAATAATGTACAAGAAAGAAAGAGGCAGGACAATCTGCATATTCAAATTTTCATAATTTGAGCTCTATTATGGTTAATTTGGTCTAAGTTTTGACCCTTAACATTTATTCAACTATTGAGTTAGAGGAACACACTCAAGTTCAATCTCCAGCTCACCTCTCTCAACATTTTGTAGCCTCACTGATATTTCTTGTTTGATTTTTCCTTCATCAAGGGATATGATACCATCTCTAACAAGGGTGTTGTCGTTATTTGCTACAAATTTCCCAAGCTGCATGGATTCATTGATTGTTGATTTTTCGTAAGCCTTTGCAGCTATAACTAGAGGTTGAATATCTATTTCAGCTTCTCCCATAAAATCATCAGTTGAAAATGTATCCTTATCATACACAAGCTACACATAAACACCCCCAATAAATCTAATCAATCTAACATTGATGCCATGAAAAATGGTATGCATGCAATGTTATCAACAACAAAAAAAATGAAATCATTTTTTTATGTAAAGGTACTGCTACATAAATGGGACACCAACATAAGTACAATGTTAAACATTAACAATTCTTTTTCAGGAGAAAAAAAGACATGAAATTTTTTTAAAAAGAGAAACAAAAAGTGGTGTCATGATATGCAAATTATTTACCCTAATTTAATAATGTTAGAAAGAATGAAAATTTACATAGAAGAAGTATTTACTATGTAGTTAATTTTTTTCATAAATAGTTGAAAAATAAAAAAAATGGATAGATGAAGGTAACCTAAATGAGTTTTATAAATGGAAAACAAACAACACAAAAACATTTTGCATTCGGTGAAAAATATTGTTTACTTACACAAATAAAATTTTTAATTGTGCAAAGTAATCCATTTTGATTTGTGCTTTTAAACTTTTGACAAAGATTTATTCTTTTCTATCCCAAAAAACTAAATTTCAATAAGGTTTTTCCACAAGTCCAAGACCATATTTTTTTTTTCATTTTAACTTATTTTTGTAAATGAATCATCTTATGTACAACATCTTTTCTATATAATGGTATAGCTTAACATGTTAATCATTATAAATCGAAAGACTTATTTGAAGTTCAATGGGAAATGAAAATAAATGGACATTAATATTGTAACAACTAAAATGATCTATTACAAACTAATTATTTTATAGTCTTAATATATTTCACATCCATGAGACAATTCCAATGATTTATTACAAAAATAATTTTTTAAAGTCTAAATATATTTAACATTCATGAGATCACACTTTCACTAAGTACAAGTATGATTATGGTACAAAAACACCAATAACAACCATTTATGATTAACAATAATTGAAAAAAAAATTGAGCTTACCACTTTAAGAGGAGGAATATTCTTTGGAATTGATAACATTAGGCTTTCATTCCAAACTGGATTCAAATTATTCTTTATGACACGTGTTTTTACTGACTGCAAAAAAAATATAAAATGTTTCATATTACATGTTACATTATTTTCCTATTTTTAGAGTTGGTGACAAATGAAGATTCTCACTTGATGACCCAAAGAAATGATGACATAAGGGTCACTAGTCATTACATCTCGAACAGCTAGGTGAGTGCCTCTAACGATATTAACCTTAATCAACCCAACAAATTCAACCATACCTGCCTATAATAATAAATGGGAGCAACAAGATTAAGTATTTAGAAGAAGAAAAAAGTTCAACATTTCAAAAACCATTATTTTTATTTTATTTTATTCAAAATAAGGTATGGGAATATGTTCCACATTATACAAATGTCTTGATTCTTAACTCATTCTTCGTAAGGCTATGAAGTCAAAAGAACACAAGGAAAAGAGGTGATATAAACCTAATATTGTAGTTCTTGAAAATGAATATGTTATAGGCTATGTTTTTTTAATCATATGATAAACTAAAAAACATATAAACCCATTGTTTTTCAGTATATCAACTGATAAAGGACTAGGATAGCTAATCAAGGAAGGACTTGAAGACCTTTTTAAGGTTGATTTTGAAGACTTTGGAGGGCCAAAGATAAAGGCTAAATCAATTATTTGGATGAAGAAATGGAAGAAAAAGAAAGCATAAATGAAAAATCTATTATGAATTTTAGCATAGGCGAGATTTTACTGACTTACAAAATTTCCTCTTTTCGTTGTCATCCCAGATTTAGCTTAAACGAGATTTTCTTAGCTTAAGCATAATTCCTTGCTTTTGCTGCCAACTGGAATTGTAATTTTTTTTTGTGTGTATATAGTCTTCATTTAGGCCTCATTAAACTTCTAAACACTATGTTTTGGCCTAAAGGTATAAATAGGTTTCCATAAACACTTGTACTTAATTTTGAATGAAATTGATAATAACTTTTGAAGCTTGTGAGAGAATTTTAAGAATTTTTCTTTGGTTTTTGGATGAACCTTTACTTCTTATCAAGGTTTGTTGAAGGATTGTGGTAGATCCTTTTTTGACATTATCAATTTTAATTGGAATTGTGGCAATAATTTATTTATGTTCTTCTTCTTCTTCTCTCAGTTTTTTTGATTTTTGTCTTGATTTCTTCAATGGTCTTCAATCTCACGAGTTCAAAAATAGAAGTGTATCATATAGTAATATTACTAGATTTTTAAGTATTTTTATTTTTTGAAGATTGCAACTCATTCAATAAAAATTTCCAGTAAGTCATTTTGAAACTATTTCTTTCCCCCATTTTTTTCTTTGGCTAAAATAGAGAACAAGGGAGAGAAAGAGCAACATAAGAATTTAGTATGTAGCATAATTTTTTGCTATAACTAATTCTAAATTTATAGTTTTTGTTCATATAAGAGATGAATGATATAGTTGGCCTTAATCAAAGGAATTACCAATGAGGTACTCTTCTTTACAGACTTGTGCTCATAATCTTTTCTTCCCCAACTATTTCGAAAGGCATTCCCAATACGATTTCTAGTTGGTTGCTTTTCAAATGGTTTCTTGTCCATAAAAGAATTGTAGTATGAAGTGCTACTTTGAGCAAGTGAAAAATTTCTTCCTTGAGATGGCACAATGGAGCATGACAAATTGTCACCACCTTCCATAAATTGTTGTAAGTCATATTTTCTTCTGAAAAATTAAATAGTACATTTTTGAATCAAAATAGTGTAATTCCTCTACACACTAAAAAATTAGTTTATTTTTTTAGTTACCGAATAAATTCGGAGCGCTCTTCAATGGTTGAATTTGGTCTTGGTTTTTTTATGCTACTTGGGAGGAAAGCTTCGTACTTCTTATTTAATAATATATTTCCACCCAACTTTTCTAATGCATCAACTTGTTCATTTGTCCATTCATCTAGCTTCAATGATAGAACCTGTAATAGCTTCAAATAATGTTAGAATTTCTTTTCGCAATGTGCCAATTATGCAAAAACAAATAACCTTGGTGAATGAGGGATAAAATGGGGACAAGTGGTTCAACATTCCTCTTTCATCACGTTTGAAAATATATAATGTCAAACATTGAGTGGTTCTATAGTATTATTAAGATGTAGTTTGGATAAATTTCTCTAGAGACACTCATGAGGGAAAAATAAAATGAATTAAGAAGATAAAATAAACTAAACTTCTCTTAGAAGTTAAAAAAAATTTAACTTATGCAACTAAACTTTTTTCTAAAACTTTCATGTTTATATTCTGCATAAATGGAGGTGCATAAGTTGATTTAAATTTATGTGAGAAATTTTATTCATTTTACCTCTTTTATTTTGTTATTTTCTTTTCTTAAAGTGCTTTTTGTGAATTTTATCAAAACTAGCTCTAATTACTCAATATTGACATTTACTTTTGTTTAGTTTTCATTTATAAATTTTTATTTATTATTTTATTTATTTCTTCTTGGGAAAAGTTTAAAATGGCGTGTTTTTATGAATTAGATAGAATTGTAACTTCATTTACATGGAATTCCCTTGAATATTTGCAATTTATATTGATGATTTTTTTTCCATCTAGCCAATAGTTTTTTTAATAATATGTTATGTGATGTAATATTTATGTTTTTGCATTTTCTAATGATTAATGATAAAATTATGTTGGAACATATGTCATTAGTTATATTTTGAGAAATTATGAAACTTTAGATAAAACAGTATATTAGTCCCCTAACACATGCATGTTTTTAAGAAAGTTGGAATTGATGAATAAATAATTTTAATGTGATTATTTAACATAAATTATTTTCCTACAAACATGTATGTATTGTATATTGTTAATCCCAAACTTTTTATTTTTCTAAAAGGTAATATAACATTTGAAAGATAAATGAATTCAATAAAAAAATGTCACTAAAAATTATTCTAAAATATTTTTTAGAAACGTACCTTTGATATGTGGACTCCTAAACTTCTATGTATGCCAGAACACTTGATGCATATAAACACTCCAAGACTTGAAGATCTAATGTTGAATAAATTTATCACATCAAAACAAGTATGGATAGTATGAGCTCACGATTTTATTATAAGACTATTTATATCAATGAATTCTAAATACATTATGTATCTTCAAAGCAATTATTGCTCAAATCATCTGAACAAGTGAAAGGAATAGTTTATATAGGAAAATAAATTCTTTTATTAATCTAGATGAATGTAATCAATGACAACCAATACTTATAATCATGGTAGTGAACAAAGTCTAAAGGATTATCATCATAACAAATATCCAAATGGCTACCATTATGATGTCAATTCTTGTATTACCATAGAAGTAAAATTAAAATATCTCTCTCCAAAGAAGAAAATGGTTATCTAGTATTTATATCAAGAAAAAAAATCATTAAAATACAAGTGAGTAATTAATAAAAAGTTAGATCTTCTAGTTAAAGAGAAGAAAATAGATTACCAAATTTTCAAATTATAAGCTTTAAAGCATTTGGTAGATACATATATTATTCTTTTATATTAATTCATTATTCTTAGTTTGTAAATTGACCATATATAGATTTTTTACCATGATTTTAATTTAAAAATGTGTTGACACAATAATTATTAAGGTTAACATGACACATTTTAACATTAGAATTTAGATATTTGGAAGAACATGTATGCCTTTAGACCTAATTAATTTGTTGCCTTCATGACTCATTTAGTACCAATGACAAGACATATGGTTTGTACACTTACATAATAAAATTTGATCCCTCAATCTCAATTTGAAAACTCTAGTCACTAAGATAGGAATCAATATAAAGATAAAAAAAAAAACAAGCTCATATAGTTTTTTCTAGTCTAGTCAAGTGTAAATAACCTTAACAAAAAATCATGTTTATCTTTACTTAGAAAACAAAGCCTTTTCTTTTCTTTTTCAAAAACAATGAAACAACTTTTTTTTTTTTCATGATCAATAATGGTATATAAATAAAGCCAAACGTACTAGATTCCTATGAAAAACCAGTCAAATACTTACACCCATTTTGGTTCTGGAGTTCCACAATCAGCACAAAACTTGTTTCCAGCACCATGCATCAAATTTGTTAGTCTTTTTTGTGGACCTATTAATTGGTAAATATAATGAAAAGAAACACAATATCAGTTGAAAATCAAGAAAATAGGTTTATGGGGTTATGTTTTCTATCACAAGGGTAATAACATAAGTTGAATCCTACAAATAGAGACAACCTTTTAGAAATGCTATATCTATACATTAAATTATCAGTTGCTTTTGTATAGGTAAAAATTATACTCAACATTTATTGTAACTTCTATAGGGTAACTGTGTCCTAAATTGAAACTTCAAAACTACTAAAACTTTTTAATGCACATTATGACTCTTGATCAAGTTTTCTGATTACATTTATGAAACTTTATAATGTTGAACTAATCTAAATTTCATGACAAATTACTAATTTCTCTCTAGATGAAGACATGCATATTTGATTGTAAAGCTAATTACAACTCCCAAGATGTTTTAGGTCTCATTAAATATATGTATGATATATAAAAGATAGACAAATTATTTTCTGTGAGAACATTAAAGCCATCAAGGCTTTTGAATTATTGATGACTTATTTCTATTAAGTAGTTCTAAACTTGAACTACCATTTGTACCATGTTTTGCATACTAATTTGTGCTCTGGGTCATTTTATTGAAGTTGTGTTAATGAGTCATAAATCATTGAGTCAACTAGAGTGAAACTCTAAAATTATTTTGATTATGTCTTATCATTTTATTTTGCTAACCTGATTTTACTTTGTAATACAAGTCAACCAAAACATGTCTTCGAAACCTAATCTCAAATGATTGATGCCAAGAAGACATTTTTGTACACAAGACCATTCTTTATGCATCATTTAGCCTATGAGTACTATCCAAATGGTATGATACATATATATGATATATGAAACACTTTATATACCATGTTTTTATGTGTTCCCAAAGATTAAAATTTATTTTGAAAATATATTTTTTCTTTTGGTATTGCTTAATTAAAACCAAGGGTCATTTAACTTTTGTCAATATTTCCCCTTTGATGTTGTGACATGGTACGAAGAATAATATATGAAGTATCTACCATATTCTCAAAATTTAGAATGAAAAAACAAATGATCTTGCCAACAATTCCTAGGAAGCAAAACAATTAGTAAATTTTTTTTGAAAATCACATCCCATGTTGCTTAAAAAATTTCATATGATCATTTTCCAATTCCTTAGACAAAAGACATTTGCATTATCCCTTCTCACTCGTCAAGTCATTAAATATTTTTCACCATAAAAGAGGAACGGGGATGGGAGAAATAAATAAATAAAATTAGCCTATGATATCAATGAATCTCTTCTTGTATCCAAAATCAATCATTCTATTACATTCATTTTAGGGGAAAGGGAAAAGACATTAACAAAATAATTAAAAACTCTTACATATTACATCATTTGTATCAAGATTTTCATGTTGTATAGACATTTCTGGCCTCCAATATTTGAAACCAAAAGAAAAATATAGTGCTACAATATGTGATCAACCCTATGTCAATTGCTTCTCTGCATGTAAAAACAAGACATTGTTCATATTAAATTTGACCAATTCGCACATGAGATATGTTAATCAGAATGAATATTCAGGGCATACGAAGAAAAAAAAATTCAATGGAAATTCTTACATATTAGAATATATATTTTTCTTAAATTTTTAGTATCAAGAAGAAAGTGATGATAATTTCTGCACATGAACAAACTAGAAGGGTATTAAAAGCAATTACATAAACCAAACATATCATATTCAATTTAGGGGATCATGAATAATTGAAATAACATACCCACGGGTTTGGAAATATTCAAAAGGGTCTTTGATGAAATTGTTTTCTGACAACCATCAAGGTGAAAGCTTGAAACTTTAAGAGACATGCATTGAAAAAAAAGACGATAAACACTTGGAAATTTAATTGGAAATTTAAATGTGATAGGATTTTGACAGTAGAAAGATAGGGAATTAAAGGTTTCAGGGAAACAAGACAGATCAAAATTTCTTTCTTTTCTAACAAACTTCCGTAATTCTTAAAAAATGTAAATCTTAGGTTTCAAAGGCCAATGTGGAATTAGCTATAAAATCTCAACAATTAATGAATATTATTTTTAATGAATAACTAATAGGTTTGACACACCAAATAATCAACATTAATATGTATACCTAAGCATGATGTGTATATTGACATGTGTAGCATATGAAAAATATAATATGTATTTATGAAGCACACATAGAAATCTATCATTAAAAATTGAATTTTCCACTTTTTTTCTTTTCCAAGTCAATATTAATTTTTTCTTCTTCTTAAACTTGACTAAATTTAAATGATACTTTAACAACCTCAAAAACTTTTAAGATTTTAACAAATTTTTTTAGTTTAAGAAAATATTTTTTTATATCTTACACATATTTATTTTCCATCGCTACTTTAATTATTATATCATTCTTACAATAATAATGCAAGATAAAAAAATAATACATCATTTTCTATACCATAATTTTAGGAAAACACTACTACTACTACTACTTATGATTATGATGATGATGATGATGATGATGATGATGATTTTGTGTTAAATACTATGTTGAATGTGTTATTTTTGGATAGAATCATGTACTAGATGATGAATTAGTGATCTTTGATGGATTGCATGTTAAATCTAGTGGCAAAATGGTGTTGGAAGATGAAAGCACCATGAAAGTCAACAAGACTTGTCTCGCTTAACGAATTTGGTGGTTGGATGAAGCTCTACTGAGCGAGAAAGGCTACCAACAACAGTTGGTTGCTAGTGCTAAGATATGTTGTAATGGCTCAACAAGGTGGTTTCTGTAAAAGAATCAAAGAAAGTATGAGAAAAGAAAGTGAATGAATTCAAAGAATTGAGAAGAGTTCTTCATATATCTTATTTGGAATGAATACAAAAAGGTGTATTTATACTATGGGAAACAACGGAAAGATAAGAAAATTATAACAGATAAATTATTTGATTATAATAACAGAAAAAAAATATTTAAAAATAAAAGATATCAGCTAACACCCCCCTCAAGCTGGAATGGATGTCAAACATTCCAAGCTTGGAAATAATCTGCTCAAAATGTCTCAGACTAAGAGCTTTAGTAAAAACATCAGCTAGCTGATCTGCAGTAGAAATTGGTAGCAAATGTATTAAACCAACTTGCAATTTTTCCCGAACAATATGACAATCAAGTTAAATGTGTTTGGTTCTCTCATGAAAAACAGGATTGGAAGCAATATGAAGGGCTGACTGATTGTCACAAAACAAAACAATAGGATGAAAATTATGAAGACCAAAGTCATGGAGGAGATAGGAAATCCATTGAGCCTCACAAGTGCTTTGGGCCAAGGCACGATATTCTGCTTCAGCAGAAGATTTGGAAACAGTAGCTTGCTTTTTACTCTTCCAGGAGATGAGTGCAGGTCCGAGAAAGAAAGAGAATCCTGTTACAGAACGACGAGTATCAGAACAAGAAGCCCAATCAGAATCACTATATCCCTTGAGTGTGAGATCAGAAGAAGAAGGGAAGAAAAGTCCCTTTCCAGGAGCATTTTTGACATATTTCAAAATTCTTAAAGCAGCCTGATAGTGCACATCAGTGGGTTGATCCATGAACTGACTAAGATGATTGACTGAGAAACTAATGTCAGCTCTGGTGTTAGTCAAATATATTAGACGCCCAAGTAATCTCCTGTACTGAGTTGGATCAGTGAGTGGAGTGCCAACAGTTTTGTGCAATTTAACAGAATGGTCCATAGGTGACTTACAAGGTTTGGAGGCAAGGAGACCTGTGTCCTCAATAAGATCCAAGGCATACTTCCGTTGATAAAGGGCAATACCAGTGGAAGATCTAGCAACTTCCATTCCCAAAAAATACTTTAATTGACCCAGATCTTTGATAGTAAATTTCTGGTCCAGCAAAGATTTTATGTAATTGATTTCTGTGGGATCATTTCCTGCTAAAACAAGATCATCAACATATACTAAGATAGCAGTAAATTTAGCACCAAATTGCTTAGTAAAGAGAGAGTAATCTGCCATGGATTGCTTAAAACCAGAATCAATCAAAACGGATGTAAGTTTGGCATTCCACTGTCTGCTCGCTTGCTTGAGACCATATAAGGATTTGACCAATTTACAAACACAATTGGATTGATGAGGAGAAACAGTTAGGCCTGGGGGAGGAGTCATATAGACCTCTTCATGTAAATCTCCATGAAGGAATGTCGTATTTACATCTAATTGATGAATGTGCCAATTTTTAGCTGTAGCAACAGCTAATAAAGTCCTCACAGTGGTCATCTTCACAACTGGACTGAAGGTATCCAAATAGTCCAACCCTTCTGTTTGAGTGTAGCCCTTGGCAACAAGCCTGGCCTTGTGCCTTTCAATAGTTCCATCAGAATTAAATTTGAGTTTAAAAACCCATTTACAACCAACAACTTGTTTATTTGGTGGCAAGGGAGTAAGAATCCAAGTATTGTTCTTTTCAAGAGCAGTTAATTCAGTCTGGATGGCTGTCTTCCAAGATTCATCTTGGATGGCTTCAACATATGAATTAGGCTCTTTGATGGATGAAATGGATAAGGAGAAGGCTTTTTGAGAAGGTGAAAGATTAGAATAAGAAATGTGATTATGAATGGAATATAGGGGTTGAGAAATAGTAGGTGAATTGTGAGTGGTAAGTAAGGTGTGATGATAGTCATGAAGATAAGAGGGAAGTTTTCTGGGTCTGGTGGATTTTTGAACAAAAGGTGGTGGAGGAACAACTGATACAGGCGATGATGTAGGTGTTGTATTTGTGGATAAGGGTGTTGGATCTGTATCAATGGGTAAGGGTGGTTGGTGTCTAGGTAAAGATATGGTCTGTGTAAGGTCTAAAGGTGACGTGGGAAGGAAGGGAAAAATGTGCTCAAAGTACTCAACATGTCTACTTAAAAAGGTTTCTCTGCTGTTCAAATCATAAAGAATAGATCCTTTAACCTGAGGCTTGAACCCCAGAAAAACACATCTTCTTCCCCTTGGATCAAATTTCTTTCTATTGTGATGAAGAGTGGTAGCATATGCAAGACAGCCAAAAACCTTAATTCCAGCAAGATCAGGTAATGCATTATATATAATCTCATAGGGAATTTTATTTTCTAGGAATGAAGATGGTTGTCTATTGATGAGAAAAACAGCATGACTAACAGCATAAAACCAAAAAGATTTTGGAAGGTTGGACTGCATCACCAAGGCTCGAGCAACTGTCATGATATGTTGATGTTTCCTCTCAACAATGCCATTTTGTTGAGGGGTTTCTACACAAGAGGTCTGGTGCAAAATCCCTTTCTCATGATAAAAATTTTTTAACAAAAATTCAGGCCCATTGTCTGATCTCACACATTTAACTTTCTTACCAAATTGATTTTCTATAAGTGTAATGAAAGAGGATAAGTGATCAGCAACTTCAGATTTGTGTTTCATAAAATATACCCAGGTATGTCTAGATTTATCATCAACAATAGTTAAGAAGAATCTGTGTCCAAAAATAGAAGCTGGGGTAGTGGGTCCCCATATGTCAACATGAAGCAAGTCAAAAATTTCATCAGCCTTTGTAACACTATGAGAAAAAGGTAATTGTCTTTGTTTCGCAAGATAACAAACATTACATGGATCTTTGTTTTTCTTACAATCAATGAAAGGAAAATTGCTTTTCATAGCCTGCAATTTTTCATGAGCCAAATGACCTAGCCTAATGTGCCACAAATCATTGTCATAAGAGTGAAAATTATTAATAGAATGTAAGTATAGGCACACTTTGGGTTTCCAATCCAGAACATAGAGACCCATGTTATGCTTAGCTGCACCAATCATCTTCATAGATTGGGAGTCCTGGATATCACATAAATCACCAGAGAAAGTTAGTCTGCATCCCAGTTGCCTTATCAGTCTTGATACAGAAACAAGATTAAAATTGAATTCTGGAATGTATAGAACATCAGCAAGAAAAAAATCTTCTGAGAAAAAAATAGATCCACATAAATTTGTTGTGACACACTTTCCATCTGGTAGATGTATCTTTACTGGTTTGATCCTTCTCAAACATTGAAATAATTTAATTGATCTGCAAATGTGATCAGTAGCTCCCGAATCCAATATCCAAATATTGTTATTCATATTATTTGAAACAGTGTAAACAATACCTGACTGAGGATCAGATGTTGAAGGAAGTTCATATGTGGTAATATGATTGGCTGTGTGGTGAGATTGCTGTTGAGTTAGCATACCCAAGAGAGCCTTATGTTGTTCAGCTGTGAATCCGAGAGAGTTTTCTCCTTTCTCCCCTTTTGAAATGTCACCAGCACTCTCATTAAGGACTGGATTGCCTTCATCACACTCCTCATTGTAACAATTATGAGCTGAACCTCCTTTGAAATGAGGTGGGTATCCGTGCTTCTTATAACATGTTTCAATTGTATGGCCAAGTTTGTTGCAGTAGGTACAAACCTTACTATTATGACCTCTTCCTCCTCTAATAAATCTGCCAGCTCTTCCTCCTCTGTTGGGAGGTCTTCCCCGAAAGCCTTGTTGATCAATAACGGCTAGAGCTTTGCTGTCATCAATTACAGAATTGAATTGTGTTGAGTGCTCCTTGAAGGTGTTGAAGGCCAAGCTCAAAGGAAGTCAATATTGGAGGCTTTTTGGTGGCAACCTAGAAGAATTTCTTCTCCATTGGATTTTTGGCTTTGAGTTCTAAACACCTAGAAGTATCCATCATCTAGGCTACTTCTAAAAGTGGAGTGATACACTTATGAGGGCAGCAATCTTGGTGGCTGGAAATGGAAGAAAAGGAACAACCAAATTTTAGTAAAATTTTTTGTGAAAACAAGAAATTAGTAACAAATTTAGTGACGGAAATTTTGATTTCAAAAATTTCTATTTCTAAATCCATCACTAAATTTGTCA